AGCCAGCTTGCTGCTGGCCGTGGCCACCTGGGCTCCCCACAACCAGCCCTGCCTCGCCAGGTGCTCCTGCCCGGCCTGATGACCTGTAACGGGAGCCTTCCCAAGGGGATGCTGGTCCCTGCCGCGCTGGGGACAAGTCACCCCCCCCGAGGTGGCTTTCTGCTGCCTTGCAGGAGCCAAGGGAAGTAGGTGCAAAGCAGAAGAGAAGAAGGATTTAAGCAAGAGCTTAGTGGATCCATCTGTGCTGACATTCATCAGTGTCACTCCTTGGCTGCAAAAGCAATATTTATAAATCACGTTTCAAAACTGCCTACAAATTTGTACAAAGAAACAGATGGGCTGGTGGCAACGGTTTGTCACCACTGATGTTTGCGTGGAGGAGTGGAGAGAAGTGCGAGAGGGGGGCACAGAGGAGGACGCACAGCGAGGGAGCCCAGGAGAGCAGGGGGTGAAGGTGAGTGCACCCCGGGCACTCAGTGGACTGGAGAAAGGGCGGCGGGGGGGAATCAGAGGAAGGGAAACAATGCTAAAATGCACACGCGTTAGAAATAAAGGGTGCCTCCATCTGCACAGGCAGCCGCCGCCTCTTGCATCGCTTTGCAGCTAGGAGGGTCTCCAAGCACCCCAGGAATAACCCTGCAGCAACAGCATTTGTTTTCCCGAGAACAGAAGGCGGGGGGGCGATGCCAGCTTTTACTCATTTCATGCAGTGTCGCACCACATGCAAGGTTTGTGGGATCGTTTAGCACGAAGGATTACCCTGTGCAACGAGAGCCTCGTCCCACTCAAGAGAGCAGCAGCTCTGGAGGAGACGGCGGCGCACGAGCTCGCGCCCTGCGCCCTCCTGCAATGCCAACTCTTGGGGCACCACTGGTGAACCCCGGCTGCACAGACGGGGGGCAATCTGCACACAGCACCGGGCAGAGAAGCAGCCCCCACTGAGCTCCAGCCCCCCCTGGCCAGGTCCCTCCTGCCAGGCAGGCAGAGCAGCCGTGACGGCTCTGAGATCGCGACCCAGCCGCAGCAGACACTGCAGCGCAGAGCAGGGAGCGTGGCCCCAGGCCCCTCCGAGCTGCTGGACGGGCGCGGGCGGGGGCAGGCGTCGGGGTGTACCCTAGCGTGCTCAGGTCTGCTTTCATAAAGTCCTTCAGAGCGAGCGGAGGGAGTTAAGTACTGGGCATGGGGCAAAATCTCGCAGGGGATTAAAGGTTGCTTACATGATAAGAAGCAAAGGTCTTGCGAGCAGCTGCCCCCCGGTGCGGGGGGGGGACTCGGGTCAGGGACAGCTGCGCTTTCTAGGACACGAACCAACATCGGTCCTTCTGCAATTAGGTCTGAAGCTTCTGCTCCAAGTTTTTTTTTTATAATGTGGAACCGGGATGGGGCAGCAGGATCTTATGTCAGCAGAGGGTTCCTCTGATAAGCTCAGAACAAACTAAATCAGACCTGTGACAGATGATACTGCAAAAACAGGAAAAAATTGTTTTTTTAAAAAAAAAACCTAAAACCAAAACCAAAGAAGCATTTCAGTGTGGCCTCCTGGCTTCTATCTGGGCTGGCCCCTTTGGCAAGTAAGCACACATCTGGCCGGAGAAGGTCCCAGTATCTGCAAGTGTCCCTGCTGTATTTACTGCTGCCGTCGGCACCTAAAGTCACCTCAAACACCAGTCAAAAATGGGAAGCAGCCCGGTAACCACCTATCTGGGCTGTTATCGGCCACACAAACGTGGCCTGCCCCTGCAGTCCCCAAAGCCAAACAGCAGCCAGGGCTCGGCCAGCAAAACCTGCGCCACACGCATGGGTTACAGCAGCAGGCAGGGATCGAGTCACTGGGAGCTGCTCAGCCCAGCGGCGCAAAGAGCCCCGGAGCTTCCCAGAGGAACGGATGGGCCCTGCCCAGCGGCACTTCCCAAAGGGCAGGATAAGCCGCAGGAAAGGCAGAGGAAACGCGCTCCTGAGCCACCACCTAACGGGGAATCCAGATCTGCTGGCCACATCCCAGGTACCCCGCAACGGCTGGGGGCCGGCTGCCGCACGGCCCCACCGCCTCCCAGGACTCCTGAGCTGCTCCCGTCCGCCGGGGGCACAGGGGCTGCCCACTCGCATGGCAGCCCCGGGGTGACCCACGCTCCAGGATTTACCTTGGAGAGAGGTAATGCTCGAACCAGGAGCGCGTTCATCTCTAAATCCACATCATCTCCCTGCCTGTGGGCAGGCTAGAGATTTTGCATTGAGAGAGACCGAGCCCTCTGCAAACGTCAAAGGCTAACCAGAGGGCACAAGAGGAGCTTTGCAGCTGTCTGCAGCAGGGGAGGAAGCTGACAGAGCCTCCTGGAAGAAATCCAAACCGCTAGCCGACCAGTCCCACCGTTTCAGGTTGGCAAGGAGCCTTGCAGGACCCAAAGCACCCTGAGCCCTGCCGGCACAGACGGACCGAAAGCCCTCAGCCCCGTCTCCCTCCCCACAGCCGCGCTGCTCAGCTTGGGGGCTGCAGGACGGGGAAGGGTGCGGCAGGGCTTACCCTTAATATCCAGCAGAGAAAAATGGTGGTTGGTGGTGGCTTCAGGTGCCAGTGTGAAGTAGAAGCGATGGCCGCTCTGAGGCTCATCACGGTCCACAACGCTGATTGTCTGGATCAGCTGTGGGGAGAAAGCAGAGGTGAGAATAGCGCTGGCTCCAAGCCCCTACCACGGGCCCGCTCGCAGGGTCCGACCCGGCAGAGGATCGCCAGCATCTGCCAGGGACGAGCCTCTGCCTGCGCTGCGGGACACCGGCGTGGGGGTAGCTGCCTGGGAAGGCACTCGGGCAGACGGGAGAGTGGGGCAGGCTGGCCCTGGTCCAGAGCGGGGCTCGCAGCACGAGGCTGCTGCAGGCGCCGCAGGAGGCCAGGGCAAAGGGCTGGGGGGCTCCCGCTACCTGGCCTGGCTTGGCATCCTCGCACACGGCAGCTTCATAAGGGGTGGCGAGCTCGGGCGGATTGTCATTCACGTCCAGGATGCGGATGCGGAGAGAGGCTCTCGACACCTGCGAGTGATTATCTGAAACCAAAGCGGCAGCAGAGCTTCAGCAGAAGTGCCACCTGCAGGGAGCAAACCCTCCTCCTGCCTGTCCGTCCGTCCATCACAGCCGCTGAGCTGCTGCCAGCGCAGGGGGGTGCGCAGCACCGCACCTCTGCCTGCCCATGGCACAGACCGTCTCCACGGGCCGGCAGAGCATTGCTCAGCCTCACCACACATTTTCCAGAAAAGAAACCCCACCGCCGGGCTGTGTTCCAAGGACTCCTGGAACGCTGCTGTTGGCCTGTTCTATCCCTGGAAAAGCTGAGCAGCCCCGAGGAGCCCCCATGATAAGGGTCAGTCACCGGTGATGAGCATCTGTGCTGCGGCCAGGCAGTACCAAGAGGGCACGAGCAAATTCAGACACGAGACCATCCCGCTCTGACTCGGACCCCGGCCTTTGCCCCCCAGGGCGCTTGCAGCTACGGCCAAGAGGGGAGCGAGCAGGGCCAGGACATGGAATGGCTGCTGCCAGCTGAGAGCACGAGGCGGTGACCAACTCTGCCACGCGCACCTCCACCACACCCAGATGATCTGGGGTCAGGTGCTCCCTGTCCAGGCACGAGGCTCCTGCCCGGGGACCCAAGCCTTGTGCACTGACACCAGCTTCTGCGTTGCCATTGGGAACTTGAACCGAGCACCAGCTGGCACCGGGGGGTCAGAGGGTAAGACCTAGGGCAGCCCCTCTGCCCCCGCCAGCCCATGCCTCGCAGAGCTGGGGGGCCAGCAGCCTGCTCCCCTCCGCACGTGGGATGGGGACTGCATTCACAGCTCCGCTCGCCGCAGGCTGCCCCAGGGCACACATCGCCAAGGAATGCTGAGCCCTCGATGGGGGTTGATAAATCACTCTGGAGGGCCCGATGCTTTCCCAAGCACCGCGTGTGCCCCCAGAAACGGGAACTCCCTCGTGCTCCATCTCCTTTGTTTTACCCAGAGGTCGCAACCTCGACGGACCCGGAGCCTCTCTCCTCGCTCAGGCAGGAGCTCCACTGACTGTTTGCCTGTAAAATTAATGCCGGCCCCCGCAGATCAGGTGGGGGAGGACCCAGGGGAGAAGAGATTTAGCACTGCTCCGTAATTAGCCGGGAACCTCAGCCCCCCAGAAGTCGTGACTAAAAGCCTGGAACGATGTGTTATTTTAAAAGGCGTGTTGGTGTAGCAAAATAACGGCGGTTGCTTTCAGGGAGAGAGGAAGGGGGGAGGCTGGGAGCAGGAGGGGAGCAGAGAGCCTGGGGGAGGCGGAGGGGCGCACCTGATGCCCACCTGGGGCCACAAACGAGCAGGAGGAAAAATGGTTCAATTCCCGCAGCATCTCATTGCCCCCTCTTCAGCCCCCAGCAGGATGGGTACCTGTCCCTGCGGCGCCATGGAGGGCCCGGCCGGGACGCCTGGGGGGGGGCCTGAGTGCGGCAGCTTGCCTTCAAGGACATGTCCTCGTCAGGAGGGAGGCAATCAGGCACAACCGTAGGTCTGTCCCCTTCCACAGCACCAGCGAGCAGCCCCCAGGAGAGTTTCATGCCGGGCCTGCGAGTGGGGTCATCCACGCGCCATGCCAGAGCCGAAACGACCCCCCCTGCTCCCCACAGCACAGCTTGGGACACAGCCGTCCTTCCTAAGCACACCCTGTCGCAGGAAAGCTCTCCCCTCGCCCCCTCTGAAGCTGCTGGAGCCCGAGGCTCACACTCACTCCTGGCTCAGCCACGGGGCTAAAATTTGACATGGAGGTCAGGAACGTGACCCTTGCATCGGGGTCAGCTCTTCAAGCAGGGCACGCGCCGGCTTCTTTCTGTTTTGGCTGTACCGCGATCTAGCGGAAGGCTTCTCAAATGCTTTCTGTACCAACCTCCCTCCTCTTCTGAGCCAGTGGATTTATGGGTGGGAAATATGAAAAATGTGTGGCTGTACTTGAAAAAAGGAATCCCCAAAACATCTCTGAAATATGTTTTCTGTAACTGGTGTGGCATAAACTGAATTTACGATGGTCGGCAGCGCAAATAAGATTGTTGGAGTACATCTGCGATGGAAGGCGCAGTGCACGTAACTCACGCAGACGTCGCATCTGCAAGGCCAAAGCGCCGACCTGCGCTTCCTCTGCGTGCCCAGGAGCGCACGCCCGTACCCCGGCGCGTGCGCCAGCACACAGAAGTAAATGCTCGGCAGGCAGGCACCGCTGCCAGGAGGAGGAGCGGACTGGGTGGCTGATGGCTGCGGGAAGGCACGGAATCCTGCCCTGGACGGGCTCCGCCGCGCAGCGCCGGGGTGGGGGGGTGCCTGTGCCAGGCCGGGTGCGACTGGAGAGGAAAAAAAAGTCATCTTCCATGGCAGCGTCTCTCCTCGGTATTCCAGCTCAGCTGACTGACATGCAAATTAGTTTAATTATTTCTTCTTCTAAAATAAATTATATTTTGCAGTGGCTGCAATATGTTGTGTCAGGCAAAATTACATTCAATATTTTTAAACTAATTGATGTCAGCCTTGAGAAAACCTGATTGACAGCAGCGAGGAAGCTAGGCTGCTACCTAAACGCTTTCCTAAATTAAAATTAAACATGCTGTTTTTCTGCATTTCCTC